TCGTAGTTATTATGATCTATTATTGGAGTTGATTCTCTTAAAATTTATTTAACAAGGCACTATAGAATATTCATGTTACTATGAAATAGTTAGAACAGGTAATAGAATAGTAAATTCGTAAATTCCATCCAGTCCAGCCGAATACCAGAGATGTTGTGAAGATAGATATACAAAATGTTTATACACCAGTATCCATACTTCCATGAAACTATACATAATAGCATCGCTTTCAATGTGAGTTTGTTCGTCAGCAGTCGATGGTAACATGATATTTGGAGCATGCCCTTTAACTCTGAATCAACTGCGAGATGTAAACATCATTGGTTTGGTAAAATGAGATGTTATAACATGTTAAGACAAGTTCACAAACGAAAAATCGAAATCGTCCTGTTTGTCGTTCATTCGGGTAGTAAGCGGCCAGGAAACGACTGACGTAGAAGAATTCTTTTTAATTGAATGTAATATTCAATGTTTTATTTCACAAACGTTTAAACATTAAATAGAAGTCATTGTTAATTAAGTGAAGTACTGAATATGTTATATCACTAACATCTAAAGCATTACTAAGAATAGTCACACATAATCATATATCAACACCAAACATCAATATGAAAGTCCTATACATGCACTACATTGTTAACATATGCTTGGCTTTTGTTTGGTTTATCTTTCATATTGTTAAGATGAGTCAGAGAGTCACATGTCACCTGCACAATTACATGTACATTTCATTATCAATGTGTATTGTTTCAAGGTATCTATTAAAAGTGGTGACATTTTAATGCCTCAAACAAAAAGTTAGTTTGAATTGTACAGTAATATTATATTTGTTGATTAAAATACATATCAAATTCATTATCAACAACAATTTGTAACAAAATACAAAATACTGAATCTTATTCCGGGGGTTTTGATACATAATGCCGATAGCGGAGTAATAATAATATTTAAATACATTAAAACTCTCTTTGTGCTTGCTCATATTTACAATTGTCTCAGTTGAGTAGCGCCACAGTTCCAAAGTACATGTACTTGGAATTTGTATTAAATGTAAACTGTTTCAGAATTGATAACATAACGGAATATTGTATTGTTTGGTTCTTGAACCACCATGAAATCTACTGTATAACAAGAAATGTTCATTGATACTTTCCTTCGTGGTTTGAAGCCTTTTAGATTGTTTCGTGGTACAACCTTTCGTGGATATTCTCTAATGACAAACAGTAGACACGTATATCTTTCAAATTCGTTGAATTTATTTTCGTGGCTCAATACCTACCACGAAAACCACGAATGTTCATTTCATGTTATGCAGTATTATGCTTAATGCAGTGGTCAATGGGAATTCGAACATAGGGTTCACACCTTACAGAATAGCCAATCGAATTTCCTAAAGAACAAAATCCTCACATATGATCATATGTATCGTCGATTGACAAAGCCTTGTTTTTATCAAACTCTTCCATAGTATCATAGTTTCCAGTATCTGCTGGACTGGGTAGTTTATAATTGGCTTTAATGTGGTCATACTCACTCTCCATCTGATCGTCTTTACCATGATTGAATTTCTCTAATGAGTCATAATACTCCGATCGAAAATCAGTGGTATGGTGGTACAAATTATCTACTCTTTCATTCTTACGATCTAAACTATGTAAATGATTGTATGTATAGTCACACTCGGCTTGAATTGGGTCACCGTTGTTTTTCGACAATTCTGAATATGAGGTATTGTGAACAACATCAAGATCAACATAACGAGAAGAAGGTTCGTCAATGGCCACGTTTGCACCATGACGTGATTTAGTATGGTTTTGGTGTTTGTTTTGTCGTTTCCGACGTTTAATTATACACACAGCTGATGTGATTAGCACGACGATGACTAGACTTGCTGCAGTACCTAATACAGGAGGAAGTGGGACAGCTGACGAACCGTTAGACTCTATATCTATTGCTGCAACAGATGATATATCTGCTGAAGTTTGAGCATAGGATGGTATAGTATAGCTAGCACCGTTCAATACTATATCTATTGCTGCAACAGATGATATATTTGCTGAAGTTTGAGGAGAGGATGGTATAGTATAGCTAGCAACGTTAGATACTATATCTATTGCTGCAACGGATGATATATCTGCTGAAGTTTGAGGAGAGGATGGTATAGTATAGCTGTTCATGGCTGTATAAAGGTTACCTATTATAGGTGTAAGAGGAACACCATTCAAGGTTGGAGATGCCGATGGTAGAGTTGATTCATGTACATCTGACGATTTCTGAGCAGTAGAGGGCGCTGTCTGGTTGTTATCTTCCCGTTCACAAAGGACCGGTAAAGTTTTCTTACAGTTTTGAAATCGTAACTCTGGTGACGTTGCAGCGTTTGGCATTATATGAATTGAAACGCACTGGCTGTTATCTACTTTGGTATCTCCCCAATGGAAATGTTGAAACCTAAACATACCAATCCAATACGATTTTAATCTATCCAGTTCGTAGGTATGTTTTGGAATGCTTTTAGTATTTAAACCCAACAGCTCCTTCTTATTATGATCACATAACGAAAGAGCATCGATCCATGATCTATTCGAGTTATTCCCATACAGAGTTATCCCACTTTGGTTTGTGTAAGTACACAACAACGGATGTGAGAATGTGCAATCTTGTGGGCTATAAGTGTACTTGCTGCTATTTTTGCGAATTGTCATACAATTTCCAGTCTTGTTTAAAACCTGATCTGTACTCAGCTGTTTGTAATGACACATACATGAGTTGTTTTGACCACACAAACTGCTATTACGGGATCCACATATATGTCCTGAGCAGGGGATTCCTCTTTTATAAGTCGCACCATGTAAACAATAACATCTGGTCGCTGTTATTGCAAACTCCTCTGAAGAACATTGGTCAAAGCAAGTTTCTGTAGGGCTACGTACCTTTGAAATGTCAATACCATTCTCTTCAATTCTTGAAACAGAACTAATATCCTCAAGAAAACATCCCGTTATGTTGATCCAAGGTGATATCTGCACGTTAGCACCGATCCAAGCGTCCAACGAACCCGTATGATTCAAGATACGGATGTCGCAAGGATCAAATGTCCCGTTCCTGTCCAGTCCGGCTAGTTTACAACCAACCGTTTTGTTCGCATTTTGCCATGTCACGTTTGTATGACTGACTGTAACGTTTATATACTCACAGCTACATACAAGTCCTAGTACACCGATAACTAGGGGTACCAACCATAAATACGCCATACTTGGTGGTTTAACAGAACAAGTTACGATCCTGTCTGTGTAAACTACCAGGAAGTCAAATTGCATATGTCAATATTACCACAGCACTAGGGCCTAACAATGTGTGCACCAGGTAATATATGTTTACAGATAACCCACGACATATTATATTTGTCAATATTAACACAGCACTAGGGCTAAACAGTGTGTGCAACAGGTGATAAATATTTACAAATAAAACACGCGATAATGCAGGTATCAGCAACGCTCTTGCTTGTCGATGGATGTTTGTTGTTGACTGTATTTGATAGTCAAGTATTTATGAAAGATATGAAAGAGGTCTAGTTACATACACGACCAAAAGTGTGCTATGTGTACATTCCTTCTAAACTACACAAAGACACGAGGAGTCTGTTCATTATAATTAGGACCCCCTCATGATAAACCATGGTGAAGTTACTCCATGTCGTTTCTGTCTTTTTCTTAATAAATTGTCTGCTGTATTGTTATATAATGCTTTAGCGGGAAAGTAGAAGTGACCGATGAAGTTGAAAGCTCCTTCTTTACGCCTTAACCAGTAGTTGTGTGTGCAATTTTGGATGTTCGGCTCCATATGAATCCTTACAACGACCTTGTATCAATCCCCATACCGAATCATCGTATCGACATCGTGAACATTCTCCAAAACATCCTGTATGAATCTCAATATTTAACCATTTTGAAAGATCCCAGTGAATTCCTAGATATAGCCCAACTTTGTCCATTTCCCTAATTTATATGCATTTTAATATATTTTACAAGTTACAGTAAATAATGTAACTGTTTAATTCACATCATTAACATCCTTAAAACATTGATGTCATGTTTATTGTCATGACACCTGAACATGACATTAGATACTTACATTTTGAAAATAAATTATCGCGGCCCTTGTAGTGCATATTGTACAACCAGACGTGAATAAAGGGTGAAACGTTGTAAGATACTGTAACATGATTTATTTGAAGATGGCTGTGGCGTCCTGGTGATGAGTTTATCTCTGATAAGAAGTAACTTCCCTATGCGTATGTTTATCAGACAGTAATGAAGTATTCTTTATGTAACGTGATAAGAATGGGAAGATAACTCTTCGGTGTATGACAACTATCTAACAGTTCTGACATCATATAACATATAAAGTGGGTAATGTGATTGTCTACATGGACGGACAAGATATTCAACGTGAAGATATAATTTAATCTACATGTACGCTGCCCTTTGTGAACTGAGAAATTAATTATCAACAACGTTAAACCTATAGTACTAAAATTAGAAAAGAAATCCGTGGAAAGATCTGTAGCCAAACTCTTATACATATATTGACGTTAGTCATTGAATATGTATCTCTCAGTTACTCCAAATTTTTCTTATTGACGGAAAAATATCTATGTTGTATCAATATGACAGTTATTGAGTGTCTTATGTGCGGTTTTCTGTACGTTTATCATCAGTAAACACAAATCTACACCGTGTCTCAGCCTAGAAAACAGGAAGTTGATCGTCGCCGTATATTGTCCTGTATAAGAGGGCGCCAATCCTCTATCCCCTTGTATATATAAAGCCTTCCTGACTTCCTTAATGTCTCGCTATAAAAAAAAAAAGTAGGAAGGTTTTTAAAATGTATTGCTAAGTTTATCACTTACGTAGTGTCTACGCTGTTGTACGGTACTGGCAAGACGCTTATTATTAAAAAGGTTACTCAACACATAACAAAGCAAAACTAATTTAGGGATATTAAACACGGTTTTAATCAATTTGCATGAACAAAAATACAATTTGATGGAATATTTCTGAGAGAACCCATACCATTGTTGTATTGAAGATTGTATTCAGTATCAACAGCATTATCACAAAAGATCAATGCCTGTTTTATCAAACTTTTCCAAAAGATTATAATGTTAGGTGACCACTGAACTGTCCTTACAGTCTGACAATACGCGTTGTGTACTCATTTATATGGAAAGTGGATAAATATTTTCTCAAATGCTTAATCGTGCAAAATAAAATAGCATTGTCACAAGCCACCTAGCTGTAATTGTACTATCTACAGGATTTGTGTTGTCTGCCTCATACAAATAAGAGGAGTTATCCACATTTCTTGAAAACTTTGCTGTAGTTGTAATATCTACATGATATATATGTAGCCTGGTCCATATATATAGAAACAGCATCAACCTTTTTTGTATCACCTAGCTGTAGTTGTAATATCTGCAGGATGTGTGTTGCCTGTCCTACACAAATAAGAAGAGTTATCTACCGTTTTGAACCCCTTTCATTAGTTGTAATATCTACAGGATGTATGAATCCTGACCCATATATATAGAAACAGCATCAACCTTTCTTAAACCACCTAGCTGTTGTTTTAATATCTACATGATGTGTGTTGCCTGCCCAATACAAATAAGAAGATCTATCTACCTATCGTAAACCCCTTGCTTTACTTTTAATATGTTTGTTGTCTGGTCCAGTTCATTACTACACACGACAAAAAATGCTGGAGGTGTGACAGTACTTGTCTACATTGGATCATAGCCATACTCACATTGGTGAAATACTTTATTTAACAAATGATTACTTCGTGTGCTCCACCTTAGGTGTCAGAACGTTGAAATAGTATGTGACACACCATTTTAGTCATAAAATGTACTTATATCAAGTTTGTGCTTCCAAAAAACAATATATGAAACAAAGCGAATGGAAATATGAACAGAAAAGATGACGTTCATATAGCTGTTGTACTGTGGCTTAGGTGTAAATAAATCAGTAAAATGTTTTGCATGAAATTCCCTAAAAACATACCCGGAGGTCGCATACTGAATCAACATATTAGTTTTTATCATAATATGTGCCAATTTCATAAAAGACTAAGTGGTGAAAAATTGTGTGAATTTGACTGCTTGGAACGCGTTACTAATAGTAAGAACGTCCTATTCTTTAAAAGTTGTCCTCACATACATGTTTAGATATCTCTTTTTGAACTAGAAGAGTAATAATACAACAGATTTAACAATGATATTTCACCCACTCACATATTAAAAAAAAAAAAAAACATCAGTCGTTTCTAACTTATCAAAAATGAACTAAAAATGGACAATACATAACAGAACAAATGGGTTTATTCATCTTTTGCCGTGAAACAGTCATCAGAGCGACCCGTCCTTTGAAGTCAACTCTTTCAACAAATTGAAAACGCAAACCCCTATATCGTTAACATTTACGGATAGTTGAGTACAGAAAGAAATACAAATGTCCCCTACTCCGGAGACTTGTCAATACCTCCTTGTGTTGTTATATAGTCGTATGTGGCGGAAGTATGGCCACACACATCGTACACTTGACACTCGCGGTTTTCAGGTCTAATGTGTTCATAATGTACCGCAGCAATATCGGAACTAGCGACCTCCTGTCTGTTACTTGAGGCCTGAGTATCATACCTTTTTTTTCTGAATCTGTATATGATCACAAAGATGACAACAGCCAACAACGTGACGAGTATACCACATACTACCCCGACAGATAGCGAAATGACGCTGAGACCCCCTGGTTGAGCAGTATTTGTCGTTTGAACTGTTTCTGTGGTGGTAAAAACCAAAGTGCTGAGGCGTTTTGGGAGTTTTGGTTCTGGTTGGTTACATAATAAAGGTAGTCGGGAATAGCATTTCCTCACGAAGGTATTCAGCTTGCCGTCCTTGCTGACCGATGCAGACAGACAATCGAATTCTTTTCCTGACGGTGTGCTGTTTCCCCAACTGAATGATTGTTTACGAAACAAACCAACCCAATATCTCCCAGACCGTTTTCTTTTAGGGAACTGTCGGTCAAAAAACTGGCTTCTGTGGTCACGATGACAGGCAAAGCCTGCTTCTGTCCAGTTCATCTTCTCTTGGTAACGACGTACTTTGTTTCTTCTTTGGCAAAGAAATGCATGTTTATCACTGCAGTTGGTTGTTGTCAGTTGCCTATTTATCGTTGATTTACAGTTTCCTATTCTGTTATCACTACGTAAATCAAGGACATCGTACCAGCAGAGACAGGTTTTTGACCACAACGTAGTATCACCACAAAATTCGCCGACGTCAATTTGGCATGGTGTGGCCATGCAATAGTCGTAGTCCGTATTTCTGACCGGCCCTGGAGTGTCCAAACACACACATTTGTCAATCGTTAATCCGAAACTTGTTCCATCACAGAATTTGTAACATTCTGTGATGCTATAACTTCCAGCTTCCGATGTCATTTGCTGAATGTCCATTTGGTAGCAACCACTGAATCTCATCCACTTTGAGTACTGAACATGTGCTCCTATCCAGTATTGTGTAGACAACTCTGAATTGTCGGTCACGCCTTGCACTCGCACATCTTCCAATCTGTCGGCGATAAATGCTCGTCCAAGTAAATGGCAGTCTGAGTTTTGCATTCCTTCCGTCCATGTCTTCTTGTCAGGAAATACCTCTGCGGGGGTCCAAACATACGCACCACAGAGAGTAACTTTCGTCGTACAAAGAAAACACAACCATGCTAGTGGACTCCCCATCGTTATTTATATAGTATCAGATATAGTCTCTATACCAGTGTATTACGCCAAGTACAGTAAGACGATCTGCCCATCACATCCGGACGATGATTCAACCAATAGTACACGATACTGCGATAGTTTAAAATACATGCTCTACTATCGTTCCAGCATATCCTAATAACTCACTGACACACTTCAGATTTCAGATAAACTTACGCGAAAACAAACAACCACTTAAATTTTTCTCAGTAAACAGTTATTGCGTGTGCGTGGAAATTCATCATTTCATTTTTTTGGGGGAAAAAACAGATTTAATCTAATCCCTATCTATGCCAAAATTTAATGAAGTACAATCATAAATTTCAATTGTGTTTATTTCAACATATATTTCTTTTCGTTAATTACGGCATAAACTTAACCTTGTCTCATTATGAATTTACCAGGTAAATAATCAAATTATATACAACAAGGTTACCGCGAGCGGTATATAATACGCCCGTCACACATTGAATGAGCAGTTGTTTGTATGATTGAAATATATGAAATATTTGTGAGTAATTGATATTAAAAGAGAAATCATTCAACATAACTGGTAGATCAATGAGTGCAATACAACATCATGGAACGCATGCATCGCATTAATGAAACCAAGGGTAATAACTCCAGTAATTATGGTCGGATAATGGCGGTTATCGAACTTGTCCGTGGTTTCATGGTAATTAACCTTGTTGTGAAGTTTGAAGTTAATCCGTTAATAATTACTCGAGATATCGAGCGGACAC